GTGTGGCAATATAATCCCATTCAATCCCACTGACAGAGACCTGTAGTTAGGAAAGGTTAAAAAATTAATGTGTGTATAATATATGTATGTACACACACACATATGTGTGTGTGTGTGTATGTATATGTGGATATGTATGTCTGTAATATTTTTAATACATATATATTTATAATTTTTTTAATTAAGATCATCCAGAGCAGTACCATGTGGACCTATTTATTAGTGATGAATAGCTTTCATCTGATAGCTTTCACACTGCTGATAAAAAAACTCTGACACACTGAGCAGAGAAGGAGGCTTGGTCAGTGACAACGTCACAGGGCTGGTGGCCCTAGATGAGGAATGCAAAAATGTGCAACAGCTTCTGTCATTAACTTCATCTATGGTACAATCTTGCTCCAGGCCAGGAGCCACTGTCTGTATTTACAACAACAACAAAAAAGGAAGATATTATGTGTGAGAGAGAAATTGCCTAAAATACAGTCTGATTTTTCTACCTATCTTAAATTAAAATACTATGTCTCTAACAGTTTCATTACCACTGAAAACAAGCTTCCTCTTATCTTCAGCAAGTGGTTTCTTGTGTCAAAATGTTGTTACAAAGAAAAAAACCACAGACTCCAGTTTCTGCCCCACAACAATATAACTAATACAAAGTTAACATTTTGCTACATTACAAACACATGTCTTCTCTAGCTAATAAACCCACATAAGGAGGGGTAGGAAAGGAACCGGAGGCCCAGCTGCCACAGCGAATACGCTAAAACTATGCTCTACAGGCTGGCTGTTGTTCCTGGTCCAATGCAAAGTCCAGGTATGGGGTACCTGCCTGTAATCCTAGAGACCTGCGGAGCCGGAGGCGGGAGGATCTTGAGCTCAAGACTGTGCTGGTCAACACAGAGAGATGTTGTCTTAAAACAAGAATGGGAGTCAGTGCATCTGTCACATGGTGCCCTAAGAGGTTACCCATCTGCGAGCAAGCTGGGTCTGGAGACCTCGCCAGACACACTGGGCTTGTGTGTGCCTATGATCTAGGGTTGGCTTGGGCTGGGGGTGGATCACAGTGTGAGGACCTTGTTGAAGGTTCCTGTGTCTCTGTCTCTGTATCTCTCACTCATTGTAGGAGGGGACAAATAAACTTTAAAGAAAAGAAGATCTACAGATCTGGGTGTGGTGGTGCATGCAGAAAAGCAACAAAACCAAAGCTGAAAGGAGACAAAGAGATTAAAATGAAGGAAGCAACCCCATGTATGTGTTGACTCAGGTATCAAGTGGTCCTCTTAGGAGTGTCTGCATTTCCACAAAGAACAAACCCATGAAGCAATGGGGGCATCTCCAGTGACCAATGGCCAGACCTTGGGGTCAGGGAGACAGGTGTCCTGGGGGAGCAGGGTATGGGCAGGCCACAGCACTGGGTCTCTGCAAGAACACAGTCATACCTGTCAATAGTTGGGGCTAGAACTGACAGAGGCAGGATGCAGGGAAGTTCCCCGTTAGCCTTCCGGGACTGAGACCACACGAGGCCTATGGAACCTGCCGCCTCAGTCCTTGTGCTCCTCAGGCCACAATGCCCCTGCACAGTCAACACGGAAGGCACCCAGCGCCACCTGAAAACAACAACCATGCGGGGGGGGGTAGGGGGGGCGGCTGGCATCCTGACGAACCTGGAACTGGAAAGTGACTTCACTTAAAACAGGGACCAACTGTCATAGTCAATAGGGAAGAAAACAGTTTGGTTCAAATTGAATCCTAGAAACACAAATCATAAAAACCAACATATTTCTATACTAGGTGTTAATTCTTAGAAATTAAACATAGAAAAAAACTGTTTTGTTGTTTTGATATGATATTTATTTTCTGCAAGATACCATGATGAAATACTCTGGATTGTATGTGACTTTTCTGGCATGCCAAAAAATCATTTTTAAAAATGGATCTAGGGCTTCATCTCCTTTTCCAAGCACCACGCAGTCCCCGGGTTCCCAGACCTTCCTAGGCTCACCACCCCTTGTACCATTCCTCTGCCCCACCCATCTCCACAGCTGACCTGCCCCTCCCATCCTCCCAGGCCCATGGCTCTGTGTGCTGGCTGAGCAGCTCCGCAAAAGCACCCAGCAGCTTCCCAGACCCG